CAGTTCTGAACCCTGTCCTATCCTGTGCCGTCCTCATCATTTCTGCCATGAATTGGTATTCCTGTCACTGCATAAGTCCAGAGTGAAGGCTGCATAGTGGAGTGGAATTTGGGGGGAGGGATTGCAGAACAATGGAAGAGTTTTTCTTTCTTTTCAAGGAGAAGAGTGAACTGGGGGGGGAGGGGGTGGATAGGGAGAAAAGTGCAACCATGAAAGACTGGAAAACCTAAGTCTCTATAAACTTTCATTAAAACTAATTGAAAAAAGAGGAATTGATGCTTTTGAATTGTGTTGCTGGAGAAGAGTACTGAACATACCATGGACCACCAGGAAAACAAACAAGTCTGTCTTGGAGAGCATGAAACAAAGTTTCTCCTTGGAGGCTAGGATTTTGAAGCTCTGTCTTACACACTTCAGGCATATGGCCAGGAGGAGCCAGTTCTTAGAGAAGGACATCTTACTTGGAAAGTGAGAGGGACAGCATAGGAGAGGAAGACCCCGGATGAAGAGGATTTTCATTGGTAACCGGGGCAGTGGGATTAGGTGTGTTGGAATCATGGAGACTGGCTCAGAATAAAGTCACTATGAGTCGAGGGTGACTTGGTGGCATATAACAACAACAACAAGCTGACCTTGACATGCAGTGATGTTGTAGGGAGATCAGAACTGCTCTGCACAATGGAATACTATGCTGCATTAAAAAACAAGGAACTCATGCAATATTATTCAAAATGGTTGACTCTGGAAAACATTATGCTGAGTGAAATATCCCAGTCACAAAAGGACAAATATTACATGATGCCACTGTTGGGGAGAGACTGAGTAAGATGGGTTCAATAATGTATACCGCACTGAAACAGAGGAGGGAGAAAACTGTTTAAAAGAGATATATAACTAGGTATTTCTGTCATCACAGGAGACTAGAGCGAGGGCTACATGGTGGAGGGGACCTGGGGGAGGGTTTGTAAAACAATGAAAGAATCTTTTCTTTTACTTTTCCAAAATTTTTGGACTCATGTACTTATAACTTGTTAGTCAAATTTGAGCCTTCTAGGTTGCAACACCCCCATGATACATCTTCAAGGATATGAGCATGTACGGCCAAGCACAATCAATAAGAGTGCATCTAAATCCCAAAATCAATCTCCATAATAGTCTATGTGTTTCCTACTGCCAAAGGGGCCCTTTAGAGTAGTGAGAGAAGATCTTCACCCTGAAACCCACAGCGTCCCTTTTCAGCAGGAAGTAGCTAAGAGAATACGCCATCCCCTTTTCCTTATGACTCAGGGTGAAGTCTCTCTCAGGGAGGAGTGATAGGGAATGGCAAAGGACACACTGACAAAGAAGATTAATCAGAACTGGCTCTGACAAGCACTGTGGCATTTGGACAAGAACAAACTGGGAGGAGGGTAGAGAGAATAGTGCAACAAGGAATGAATGGAAACCCAAAATCTCTGTAAATGTTTATGAAAATTAATAAAATATAGAAAAAAAAAAGAACTGCTCTGCAGTGTCTCCCAGGCTGCTGTCTTTACAGAGGTGGCCCACCTTATCTTCCTGTGCAGAAGCTGGTAGGCTGAACCACAGGCCTTCTGAAGGCAGACAGTAGACTGCTGAACTACTGTGCAACCAGGTTTCCTCAGTTAAAACATCAAACCCCAAACGAGATCTGGTAGAGAACACACCTAGAATCATGCATAAGTTTTAAAAACCCCTCAAAAACAAACCCCACCTGCTGCCATCATTTCAATTCTGACTCACTGGCAATACAGGACAGGTCTCCCAGGCGGCATCTTTAAAGAAGCAGACTGCGTATCTTTTTCCCATGGAGAAGCTCATGAGTTTTGAACCACTGACTTTTCAGTTAGTGGCTAAGTAGGTAACCACTATGTCACCAGGACTCCTTTCCCCAAAAGAGGAGTATTTACTTCCAGATATTGAGACTTCTTCACTTAGAGCTGTGAAAGGTCTATTTCTCATAGCCCGAGGACACATAGGAGACTACTGAGACCATGGCCCAGCTCCTCTGAGAGTGAGGCCAGGAATATGCCTCACTTATGTCTTCTGCTCAGTCCACCTGGGGTCCTATTATACATGCAGCATCTTGGCCTAAGTCCAAACTTTCAGAGCGGCTGGGAAAAGCCTCTAGGTATTTCCAATCCACCTGGACAGGTACCTCCTAGAACTTCTTGTTGTTATGTGCCGTCGAGTCGTTTGCGACTCATAGCGATCCTATGTCAAACAGCCCTAAACCCTACTCTATCCTGTGCCAATTGCATTGCCTCTGACACACCCATCCCGATTACCCCAGTCACTGAATCAATACACCTCATAGAGGGTTTTTCCCTCCTGCGCTGTCCCTCCACCCTACCAAGCTAGCATGATGTCCCTCTCCAAGGACCTGTCTCTCCT